CAAGATCTTGCCCAATGAAAACAATCCAATCATCAATATAAATGTACTCTGAACTACTGATTTAAATTGAAATGAAATCAATAAAAAAAAATAGACAAGAGCAATTAGTTTGAGAACATTATTGTATTGCGTGACATTTTGGCATAGAGCCAATCAGCAGCTTGGTTGATAACCAGCAGTTGACAGAAGACAAAGAGCAGTCAGTTTAAAGTGTTATCTCAACTGTCAAATGGTTGTTGAACGATACATCTTTGTTATAATATATTTCAGTCCCTGTCAGAAATTCCAAAAATGATCAGTTGCAACCCTTTCGGTTTTTACAGAAGATTACTCAGAATCAGAACCCCAAAAGCCTTTAGTTGTCTCACAGCAGGAAATGGGGACAGTCCAGAAAACTAAATATCAACATTACTTAAAATAATTGAATTAGGGTTATTGCACACTATTTTATTGTTTTATAGTCATGAGCACATCAAAGTTTGTGTGTTCATGGTAATAAAGGAACAACCGGATGTCTCACTGATATTGCTCTTAATTGGATTTGATCATGTTCTGTTGCTACCTCTTAGAAAATGAATTAGACATTTTATCCTGTTAAGTCCGAGAGACCCCAGTACCGGGGCACTGCCGCAACATCTTGCAGGAAACAGTGTCTGAGGGCATGTTCATTTAATAAACTATGAATGTTTTATATCCATGTAACGGGAAGAAACTCATCTAACTGATCAATATTTATTTTTTTTCAAAATAAAACCCACAATGCTAACACTGAGCCTCTGAATTAGCAACGAGCGAAAAATGCTAACAGATGACTGCACCGAAATTCACTCACACACAGGGGCGGTTTTAGGGGGGGGGGGGCCTAACACTGACCTCTGACCCCCCTGTGGCCCCCCTAACAATGAAAAGTTATTTATTTATTTTTAAATGTATATTTTCTGGTACTCGGTTTGCCAAAAGACGCAGGATTTTGTTGCTGTAATGTGAGATTGTGCAGACACCCTTATGTAAAGTAGAGATGTAACTGTTCATTGCCTTTATTTTTATATAAATATGGTGTGAGTGCAAACATTGCACTATAACTTAAGCTGAAGCTAACAGTAATAACTATAAGATATATCTGAAATAAATAAGTGTACTGAAACAAATACCAATAACTGTATTGCATTGTTTTCTTATGCGCAATTACTTCATACTGTCTAGTTCTCTTTTTCGTCCTGCATTTATTGTGCCCCCCTCAGAAAATAACTGGCCCCCCAGTGGCCCCCCCAGTCAAATTGGTCTAGAACCGCCACTGCTCACACAACCTTATTATTATTTATCTTTGCTGCACATCCAACCCATCGTTTCACATCGTGAGATGACACAGAATCGATGGGTGCCGACATTATCACTCAATTATACGAACTCGCGGAGATAATAACAAGAACAGACATCAAAACATGTGGCGCTAGGTAGCTAAAAATGCTAACATGGCTCACCTGTGTCTTTGTCTGGTCAAACGTGGTCTTCAATGGCATTAAAACGATAAAAACGCTGCTGAAGTTCATCCATAGGTTAATCCAATGTGTCTGTGTCCCTTTGAAATGATTTCCGATAATCCATGAGCAATAAACCTGCTTTTCCGTTTCCAGAGCTAGAGATAGGTTCACTCTCATGCAAAACTGTGTGATCGAAGCCCCAACCTTTTTGTTTTACCATGTGTGTGAGTGGGAAGATTCCCCCTCGATTCTATTGGCTCTAATGGTCAGAAAGAGATGTCAATCACCAAAATCGACCAATGGGTTCCAGAGAAACGGTAAAACCCCCATTTCCACCCAAATCACCTCAGAGGTGGAGTTTATTTTTGCTAAACCTCTCTAAAAAGGTCAAAGGTCACTTGTTTTGCATCAATCTTGATACTGGGTACTTATTACATGTTGTACTTTGGATTCCTAAAGATTTTAGTCTACCTTACCATCATCCAAGGGTAGTTTTCACTATAAGTAAAAAATAATTGTTGGACGGACACTATAATTTACAGTTTTTTACTATGTTCAATCTGAATTTTCTTTAAAATAAAAAACATCTATATTGATTCTGACTTTTCTGCATCCAACTCACAGGTTTATCATTACTTTGAGAACAAAGATTATTAATTTAACCCTTTTAGAAGGGAAGATATGGTCATTTGTTCTGGGAATGTCATTTTCGAGCCTGAGACCTGAAAAACAGGCTATGGGCTAAACTGGTTAAGGTGTCCTTGGGTGTCATGAAAGGCGCCTTCATTTTTTTAAATATTTGTATTATTATTATTATTAATATATTTTGTTCTATGGCACAAAAGATCAGGTTTTAGATACATACAATGTGTGTTATTTCTGTTATTATTATTCATTGTTTTTGTTGCTCTTGTCATTATCGTGTAGACAAAAAGGACACATTAAAACAGTGTCATTGTCACTGTAAAGCAGCTGTGCATTTATTTGACTGATCAAACTCATATCCACCTGGTTCCTCTCACTAGGAGTTGGAGGATCAGAGGCAGTGGAAAGTTACCGTAGTCGTGTTGTTCTCAGAGTTTGCTGTTGTTAGAGGAGGGGCACCGTGAGGCTTCAGGGCAAATCATATCTGGGATAGTTTTCACTCCCCTGAACATCGTTTTGACCAAATGTTCCTCTTGTACCACTCTGAGAGCTTTCCTCTGACTGTTGTTGTTCAGAGTCTGTCAATGTTTCCTTATGGTGTGTGTGTTCACACTTTCACAATAACATCTGGGGGTCTATTCAGTATATCTAACACTGCATGATTATATGCATTGATGTACTTTATGTATATAAACCAAACTGAAATGTATATTTCTGTCTGTGTCTCTGTCTTTTTTAGCACATGAACCATGTACTTTATGTGTCAGCAAGTTAAATAAAAATACAGGTTCAATCTTGAGACATAATAGGAAGTGTGAGAACAGGAGCACAGACAATAATAACTTAAAATATTTACATTCTGCAAATTCAATCTCAATAGTTGCTTAACAAGTGTTGCTTTTATTACTTAGACAAAGATACATAGTGTTATTAATATCTTTCCACCTCTGCAGGCCACACTAGAGCTGGTTCATTTAAGTGCGTTTTTTACCCCTTATAAAATCCTTACTCCTAGTTTCATATGTGCTGAATGTACCTTTAATATATTGAGGGTGACACAGGTCAAATCAAGCGGACATGTACTACAAGTTGCAGAATGTATTTGCCATTTATTTTGTCATTTACACCAGATGACGGCCCATAAAATCCCTCTGGGGCGGCCGATCCTCGTGCAGTCGTCATAATCAAAAGGCAGAACTCGCTCCATCAATCTCAGCGCTCCATTCAGGCTAACAACATTACTATTCATCATCAGTATTCACACCTGTCCAAATCCATAACCTCATTGCCTGGAGGGAGGAAAGAAAGTAAAAAAAAAAAAGTCATCGCCATCTCGCAGAGAGAAGGGAAGAATCCAATTCCCCTCTGCCTGCGTAGCTTATATGCATTTGTCATACATCAAGCAGACAAGTGAACTCCCTCGTCTCCTCGCACGCAGCTCCTCTCTGACCCGGCCAGCTTTGTCCTGACTCATAAAGAGAGCTAAATGAAAACCATCCTAGCCCCCCCTGACTCCCCCCCCCCCCCCCCTTTCCGTCACTGCTGCCTCTCTGCAACCGAAACTCATTTCCTCTGTGTATCAGTGGGAACAAATACACACAACGTCTACACACACATCGCCTGCACGCCCCTTCCCATCAGCTCAGACAAATAGTGTACATTTCTCAAGGAATCCCCTGAATGTGGGAGTAGACCTGCAGATGTTGGAGTGCTGTCCCCCCTCAAAAAAGAAAAACCCACACCCCCACTTCTCCCAAAAGCCCCCCTCCACCCGTCCCATGTTTCCCATTAGCCCCCATTGTGTTGTGAATGCACACACAGATGCAGGAAGGCATGCATGCACAAAGGCAGCTATGCATTTACGTGTTTGAGTACGCACAAACACACACTTTTACCAAACATGGTCATGGATTTGTGTGTGTGTGACGTGTGTGTGTTTGTGTGTCCGACACACCTGCAGGTAAATCCATTTTCTTTCAAATTGTCAAATACAAAAATTGATAAATAGGTATTTAAATAAATACCTGAAAATATGTATATATGTTCATTTTAATTCATTTAATGTTGTTATAGTTATTTTATCATTGTTATCTTTGATTTGATCCTTAATTGTATAAGTCTGTGTGAATATGTGCTGTCCTGTTTTTCATTATTACACTATTGCTGTTAAACTCCTGAATCTGAGGTCCATCTTATCTTATAAACTGTATTTATGTAACACCTTTCAAACGGGGTTAAAAAACGCTTTCTTAATAAAATACACATACAAATAAAAATGAACCATAAACAAGCAACCAAGCACATTTTAGCACACACAGTATTTGGACCCTCTGTGTTTCCATTGCGAGCCTGGCAGCAGAACAGTGGAGCCGAAACATTGCAGCGGTGGGGGATGATGGCCGATCTCATAAAATCCTGATCCACAAACTTACCGAAACACTGAGCGATCACACACAGCCAACTGGTCATGTTTCCAATAATATGCAAAGTAAAATGAGAAAATGTCCATTACTGTCCAAAACACATAAATGCTGCCTAAACCTGAAATGTCTTCCAATATGTTTTAAGTTTCATTTAGGTGGCAGTTTAGTGACTTCTTTGTATACACCTCAAAGATATACAGACACAGGAAGTCAAATGTACGCTTTATAAAACAATCAGATATTGCAGTTTGCTCTGTGGAAGCCAGTAATCTGAACTAATGCTAATGCTATGCTATTTCCATCCATGAATTGGCCTTTTCAGTTAAATTGTGGTATCGGTATTATATCATAATCTACCTATCATAACCTCGGTTTTCACAGCTCTCATTTGAAGCTTTAGTAACAATGAGGTCCTTAAAATACCTACAAGTGCTACATTTGGGATAATCAATATAGGTTGGAATATCAGCTTTTCGACAAAAAAACACCGTCGTGATCATCATCAGTCCAGTTCTGCCTCCGATACTGTATGTTGGACTTTTCAAGATTCAAGTGTCAAGGCTTTTATTGTTATGTGTTCATAGCTAGTGTAGATATGACAACAGGCTCCTCCAACAGTGCAACACAATAACACAGATAAAATAGTGCAAGTAAATACAATAAAATATAATATAGTAGAAATACTACAGAATAGTCTATATACAAGTAATTGGTCTATATGCGATGGCATCCTCCACACAAAGCGTCTCCATGGTGATCGTGCCACAGCTCACTCAGAAATTAATAATAATTCCTTACATTTATTATAGCGCTTTTCCAGATGCTCAAAGCACTTTACAAACACATTGCACATATATCATACATGTACTGTGGGCAGTATACCCACAGGAGAACATTCAGGTGAAGTGTCTTGCCCAAGGACACAATGGCTTTACAGACGCAGCGGAGGGGGGTTTCGAACTGGTGTTCCCCAACCCCCCCCTTGATCTGATGATCAACACACAGCCCACTGCGCCACTCCGCCTATCTTCACACCTCGAAGGCATCAAGGAGCTTTACAAGTACACATTACACACATATCATACATGTAACGGTCATGTACTGTGGACAGTACCCACAGGGGCAAATTCGGATGAAGTGTCTTGCCCAAGGACACTGGCCTGACGCAGTGGCGGGTTTCGATGATCATCGCACAGCCCACTGCGCCACTCCGTCTCCGTAGCTCATTAGTGCGTTCGTAAAGCCGACCCAGTGGAAGAACACGAGTTAAACCTCTCAGGCTGGCAGAAACTCATCCATGGCAGGAAAAGAAATGGTGGACGAGAAAGAGTTACAAGAGGCCCAGTCCACACCGCCATCCAATAATGAACAGCAGATTGCTGTGGGAACAATGTCATTGCAGTTATTACATTGCTGGACAAACAGTGGGTAAGCAGTGGGATTAGAAAGCATGGCGGGACATATGTGAATCTATATTGGCAAACCTTACACTTCAAACTTTAATAACACTTGTTTTTGTAATTATACATATAGCATTGTTCTGGGTTTATGTAATATATAAAGAAGTGATTTATCTATATCTGTACGTCAGTCTCTAGTGGCTGAAGCCTTGGCTTTTTCACTAAAGAAGATATATGTGGAAACATGTGGAGCGATCCATGCTGAGCTAGAGGAAGAACGGCCCAGTATGTGAACCAGAAATGTGTGTTTGTGTGGTTAAAGTATAACTTAGTACTGCTGCTTTATCTTAAATAGTAAATCACCAATTCATATGCGGACCCATTTTTGTTCAGGCTGGCTTTTATTGTAAGTGCTTTGGCTAGGTATTTCGATTATCTATTAATAAAAATACAGCTTAAAAAAAATGTTTTTACACTAGTGTCTGTCTATCTTTGCAACTGCAGTTTGAGGAAGTCTCTTTAAATGTTTTAACATTTCTACAAAAAGCCACGTCCATAGAAATAAATGGCTTTGTATCCCATCCAACACCTTTCCAATCCTTTGTATGGACTGAAATACCAACTTAGCCATTATCGTCTAAAATTACCAAAAACAACATGAAAGGTTGTCCTAACTGTTTGTATAATGTGTCTAGTAATGTAGAAATAAGACACACCATGAAAATGATATAACAGAGGGTGGGCAAGTATTGTTTGTGAAATGAAATCGCTCACCCCCTGCGCCATAACTTTGCGATAATGGAAATTGTCAGAGGTTTGTAAATGGGGTTGGCGAAGCAATTTGGTGCCCCTCCATCCCCAAACCCTCCCCACCTCTAAACAATCAGCAGGGGTAATGAAAGTGATAATGGTAATCTTTACGGCCCACCATGCCAGCCCAAGACACCGGCGACCCCCCGACACTGATTTAATTAGCTTTTCCTCTCCTTCTCCTCCTGCATGTCTTTCATCAGCCCGGCCCTATAAACTATTAATGGCCTCTTAGGCAATTTAGCTTGATCACTCAAACCAGCCTATACCTTCGGTCCGCCTGAAAATGTTTGAGGAGATTAGCAGGATGGGAAAAAAAATGCTTGTCTGCACAAAAATTGGAATAAACCAAATTAGGCAAGGGTGGGGGGTGATTCATCTCTATCAAAAGAGCATTATCATCGTCTGGGCAGAGGAGAGGATTGGCTATTTTCTGTTTTATACGATGATTCAACTAGTGCTTGGCAGAGAGAATCACAGGCCAACTCATTGTTTTGCTCTTTTCATTTGGTTTGACTCGAGGCAATAAAACAAATAATATATTCGAGGGGAATGTTATTTATAATGGTGATTTCGCTGCTATGGAAAAACATTGATGTGTTGATTTATGATTTACTTTTAATAGTTTATTTTAAAACACAGAATTTCATTTTCTCGACCGTAAATCAGAATTTAAGCTTGTTCTTTGTTGGGAAATGTTATATATATCTCCCACCTTTTTTGAGTTATGATTGACTTGAAATGGCTATTTATGGTTAATATATGTATGTTTTTATTTCAAAACCCAGAATGACATTTGATAGATCCTTAATCTGAATTCAGGCCTGTCATTTTTGGACAAATTAAAGTACTTTCCATCCTCATAGGGCAGATGTTTAAAGCAGAAGTTTGCCGATGTTTATAATAACATGCGTTCTACTTTGATACATCTCAAAATGTTGAAAATAATATCAGTGAAAAATGTCTTTCACAATAAAATGAAATGTTATTCTGGCCTTTTTCATAGGCCAGAATAACTTAACAAAAGGCAGCAGATGGTTCAGAGTGTGGTGCCTTGCTCAAATAAACATCAACAGAGAACCTAAGGCAACATATATTTCCCCAGACTATTCCAGGAAATTGAGCCGACAGTTTTCCCGTAAAAATCCTAGTCTGCTGTTCCTTAGAAAACTCTGTGTCATGCTGACCCCTTGGGATATGTCAAGCACTTTGTGACTATGTCTGTGAAAAGCGCTTTATAAATACATTTTACATACTTACTTAAATGTGACGGGGTGACTAAGACAGGAAGTCCATCCTTTGTGCATCATATGGTTTCAAAATGGCTGCAACAACACAAGCCTATTGAATGTATTATTAACCAGAAACATGTTTTATACATCCTATCTGCTGCAGCTTTCATCACCGTAATGTAACGGAGGTGATCTCTGGTCCGTAGATCACGGTCTCGTTACGTATTATATAGCTTCACTATTGGCGAAGCATATTCATTTGTTCCACGGTAAAACATTGCACAGGAAGCATTTGATGTATGAAAGATGACAAGAGCTTGTGTGGCGTTCAAACCCGATGTATTGAATGGTTGGCGCCAGTATGAGAAACACATATTAATCCTTAATGTCGGGGGGCTGGATTGGCACAATGGGTGATTAGCGATTCTAGTCATTTATAAACTAAGCAATATACATTTCTGTTATATATTTCTCATATCATCCCTGCAGTAGTTAACACTCACCTCCACCTGTTCTCCCGTCTCCGGTCCCATGGTCCGTCACCGTAAAGAGTCACGGGGAAACTAATTAATGAATTAAACATTAATTAGGTATAATTGAATTAATGGATGTTTTTTATTTTCAAGTAATGTTTAGTTTTCTTTAATTGTGCAGAAGAGACTCCACAAGCCTTCGTCCTTCCCGCTTGCTGGCTGTTCGCTCCTCCTCTCTGTGAGCTGTGGTGACGTAGGAGACTTCCCCCTCGTTCTTCTTTGTCCGAAATTGTGTTAAACGGAGGATTTCGACATTTTACATTCATTGCTTACTTCCACATGCCTTTTCTCCTCCTTATCTCTTTCATAACTTTATATGTAATACATGTTAACGGCGTCAATAGCCACTTTCATTATACTAATGGACGGTAGTCCCGGATGTCGTCATGAAGGATTTTCAGAATAAAAGCTTGGTATTCAGAACTTCCGTTTTTTTCCAGAATAAAATAGCATTTAAACTGACGGTATGTTTAATCTACATTATGCCATAAAACATTGATTTTAATTTCTAACAGTTTCATTATCTGAGCTAACCATTTTAGCACATACCACCCCTTTTGATGGTACAGTCCAATTGTTGGGCCTATAAAAGGAGGCGTGTTAGGCTCATTGAGAAGGGGATAGTGCTGGAGACAGTCATATGGATGATTGATGCTGTTAAATACGACTGTTAATCATGTGCCAATGATTAATAAATGCCCACACCGGGTTGTATTTGGACGTTCTGCCTCTGCCTCCTTGCTTGGTCTGGCCGCTCAATTGTTAGCTTCACAGTATTCAACACTACCGTTTACAATTATGTGCCATTATGTAATACAAAACATTGTTAGGGTTAGGGTTAGAGTTAGGGTTAGAGTATAGTTGAGAAACTTGAATGAAATGTTACAAATCGTTAATCCCTCGTCCTTCCAATGTGCAACAGAGTGACTGGCTGTTTCAAGCCTCAGGCATGAAATATTGTTTGTGAATTTCCTTTATCTCAACGCAGGATCAATGCTACGACATCAACACATATTTTTCGTAACGGCCCGGTAAACTGTTCCATTGAAAAGAGATTTTCTTTCTCCATCTACCATTTCTTGCCAAAGGGCATGCACGCAGTAATGGATGACCAATGTTTCCAGTAATGGAGTTTGCTTGACTTACTGTTACAACAACAACCATTATACAGTATGCATGCATGGATAGACAATGTCAGTCAATAGTGGTCAAGAATGCCGTGGGAAATGTCTGTTTCATGGAGGACGATAAGTGTTTTACATAGGAAGTGATGTTTTTATGTTTTTCAGCATAGGATTAATCAAATCCCCTCAAAGTATACTTTTCCCATTTGTTTAGCCAGTGGTCGACTTCTGTCCCTCTCTACTTTGGCACCCCGGCCATCCCAACGTTTTTTCTTCATCACCTGAGGCAGTTTCCGGTAATTCAATCAATACCATCCATTTCAATGTTTACCCTTCTGTGTTCAGCTCTAGTTTCAATCCAATACGTCCAAAATGAGGCCAATATGTCCTTTTGATGTTGAGTTAACATTCATGGATGCCACTTTCTTTTTTTCACGATGATTGTCCTTTTTTTATCTAGAAATTAAATTACAGCTGATATTTTACTAAAAGATTTTCATATGAGAACCTGCATTGAATCTAGTGGAGACACATGATCACATAACGTTGCATGAAATGGTTTGAATATCATTCAGTTATTGGATGTTCTTTGTAAGCATAATCCATTGCATTTCATTTCTATTCACAATCAGGAACAATACAGTACATTTTAATGAAAGCAAATCCCTCTGACTCTCTTTGACTGTGTTTAAAAGCTCTTACTCGCGCAGCATGAAAATGGTAATGGGATAGTTTTGTATCTATTAGCATGGTGACCTCCGCAGAGCAATGTGCCCGGGGATATTAACAGTAGGCCACTCGACAATAATGGGACCTTTAATCTGAGCCAGAGCCAAACACATGAATGACATTTCCCAGTCAGTGTTCCCATTCACAAACAGCGGGGGGACCAATCACAGCGAGGCAGAGTTCAATTAGATAGAAATGAAGCACATCTGTCGAGGGTGAGGGGCTTTTACATTAACAGCAAAACATGAAAAATGGACCAATTTTCTCTAACCTTTGGTCGGTAAATTGAAGTTACAGGTCATACTTAAGAATGGCCTTAAACGTAGCAGAAACATTAGACTGAAGGTGAACAAAGACTTTTTTTTTTTAATGAAAAACATGTGGCACTTAGCTCCCATATGTTTTATTAAAGGATTACTTAATCGCCTAAAATGTTAAGGTTAAAAGAAGGAGGAACGACACGGAAAACCAACATATTAAAACGGTGAGTGATTTATTGTTGACTTACAGTACGTTTATTTAGCTGACATGCAAAGACACATAGCTTTACATCTGTTAATAAAGAATCTTTAATATATACATTTGAATCGTTGCTTTGTATTAACTCATATATTATTAATAGCAAATAATCTTGTGACATATTCTTCTATGATTGATGTTGAGGAAGTAGAAAGGGGCCTGACATGCAGAGGCATTTAAAATAATGTATCATTGTTATTCAATTTGCAGATTTAAAATTGTACTTCTTATGATTATATAAATATATGTATTCAAATGTATTTATTTCAATATGTTCAGCTTGTACTTTTTACATTTACTTCTTATGTTCATGCAAATATTTTATTATGTTGTATTTAATTCGATATTGCGACATTTTACTTTAACTAATTTTATTTTATTTGATCATAAAACCCAATTCCCCCCTTGTGTACTGAAGTATTCTGATTCTTACACATTTGATAAAAGCACAATTGAATGCTCAGAGTTGTGTGTTGGTCATGCGGTTTCTGTGACATTAAAAAAAGCAACACTTCCAGAAACAGAGCCTGCACGATATAATCAGCTTCGTCCACGGTCACATGATGTTGTCAAACCAAACAAGTTGATCTTGTGATACACTCCGCAGTGTGTGAGGGGGAAACAGAAGCTACTGTGTGAGAGTGCTCTGCTGCATGAAGGCCATGTATAGTGTGTCGCGCTGCTCTCTGATTGACAGGCTGCTCCATTTGAAAACTCCATCCAAAAACATTTCATACAAATAACTTATTGTTTCACTCTGTCAGCAGACTGTGGCCCGGAGAAAGATAAATGGCACACTTTATTTGGCTTGTACTTGTCAAGAACAATCATCTTTGTGTGTTTGGGGCTGTCAACCTCTTTGTCAAACAACCTTTCATTTCTAGCTTTCACACTTTTGATCCACCAAACTGATATCGACTGTATTTTTATTTGTGTTGTGTCATCTGCTGTTTACGGGTGGCAGAATAAGGGCAGTAAATATTTTTTCAGAACAAATGCTTCTTTTGAGTACTGCAATGTTTCCATGATGTTCAACAGCCATACAGTTAGAACTAAAAATAGTCCGACTATATAACGTTCATGATCCCTAGTAGACCCTTACACATATAACAACATTTTTAGTAAATTGCGTAATTGTTTCAAATGCATATTAAGCAAGCTTCTTGGTTAATATTAAGCTGTTTTTGACTCTTTTCTTGCTGTAACAAATAACGAACAACTAATAAAGGTATTCTGATTCTGATTCTGATGGCAACGAAACAGTTTCCATTTCTTTCTTTAATCCTGTTTTGTTTACAAGGCTCTTGTGGCCGAATGTGAAATTATTATTTCTAAATTGCTAAATGACATGTTGGGAACTAATAAGTCAACATCACGCCACTATACTGTAACTCTAATGCGGCTTTCACACCAACGCTTTTCCCTTTCTAGCTCCGAGCGGGAGCTTTTCTGGTTCAGCTCCGGTTTCCCTTTTCTGCTCCCGCTCTGTTCACACCGCCCAGAGCTGCCGCTGCTGCGTCATGACGTCACCGTTTACGTGCCTGCTTCATAAAATCCAAACCGCGCGGAAATCCCTCACATCGACAACAACAACAATGGCCGATTGTATTGAAGCGCTGTTCGCTTTGGTTATCCTCTTACGAAACGAAATGGAAGGCATCGGACGACTTTACAAGGGACGACTTTACTTGGAACTTTACAAACATCACATGCGAAATGCAAGACTTCTTTGTGGTCTTCAGCATCTACTTCAACCCGCCTCGACGTAAGAGAGACGTAAGCCTCTTAGCTCCGAAGCTCTTGCCTCTAGACCAGTGGTTTTCAAACTTTTTCTGTCAGGCCCCCCCTTTGGAGAAAAAAAAAAGTCGGGCCCCCCCAACACAAATAGTCAGGCTCAGTGGCGGCGCCAGAGATTTATTTTGGGGGTGTTGTGGGGTAGCTTGACGTTTCATAGAGGGTGCTCAAACATTTAGGGTTTCCCATTAATGTACCGGGCGCTACAGAGGAATGTTCTACTGCAACACTCCCCACGCATACACACAGTGTACCCGCGACTGTTACCATGAAGGCTCGATAATCAGCTCACGGCATATAGGTGTAAGCAGGGGTAAAGTACTATTTTTATAGGTGGTGTGTGGACCTCCTCTAGGGGGGTCCGGGGGCAAGCTCCCCCGGGAAGATTGTTAAATATTGAAGTTAAAAGCATCAATCTGGTGCACTTTGAGAGCAAAATGAAGAGATCTATGGATACATCTCTCAACACCCATTTGAAACAGAATTCTAAACAGATTTACTTTTTCTTTATGGATATTTTACAAATCACTCCCCTTTTAAACTGTATTCTTTTTTTAATGTATAGTATTTCATACCTGTTTTTAATGTATCTCTTATTTTATAACTATAATGATCATATAAACGTGTGCCTCGGAAATAATTGTTTACATTAATGGTGACCAAAACGTTTGAGACCCACTGAGATAACACTGAGAGAGTCCTTTAGCTCACTGAGCCTTTGTTGTTGAAAAAACTCCTTATATCCGTTAGCGTAGCTCGCTAGCACCAGAAGCTAACAACAACAATCTCTGGTACCGGTGCGCTCTCTCTCTCTCTCTCACACACACACACACACACACACACACACACACACACACACACACACACACACACACACACACACACACACACACACAGAGCCAAGCTTTAATGAAACACAGAGACCCAGATGTAATAGTACTGTATCATATTATTTTCAATCAATAATTTTTCAAAATATGATTTTTTTTTTTTTTTTAATCTTTTTTTTTTTTTTAAATAACCATTTTTCCCCCTGGTCCCTCGCGGCCCCCCTGTCATGCCTCTGCTCCCCCCTGGGGGGGCGCACCCCCCACTTTGAGAACCACTG